AGCCCTGCGGTAAACATTCTTGTGTGTAAATCTCTGGGCACATCTCTGATTATGTCTCAAGGCAAATTACTAAAAGTAGAATGATGAATCAAACAGTACCAGCCACTTTTCAGGCTTTTCCCAAAATGCCCTCCAAATATGTCATGTGAATTTGTGCTACTAAAATATTAGACAGCTCATTTCCCCGTAGCCTTCCCAGCACAGGATATTGTGATTTAAAAACTTTCTTGCCAGTCTATAGTTTTCATAGTCAGATAGTGCTCTGTAGTTTCCAAAGCTCTCCTGAAATTTTTACTTTTTAAAAATATATATATTTTATTGATTATGCCATTACAGTTGTTCTATTTCCCCCCTTCATTCCCCTCCACCCTGCACACCCCTCCCCCACCATTCCTCCCTTTTAGTTTATGACCACATGTCTCAAGCTCTTTAGATTCTATATTTTCCCTACTATTCTTGCCCTCCCCCCTATCTATTTTCTACCTACCATTTATGCTACTTATTTTCTGTACCTTCTCCCCCTTCTCCTTCTCCCACTTCCCTGTTGAAGATGTGATCTTCATTTCTGTGGTTCTGCTCCTGATCTAGCTGTCCTCTCAGTTTGCTTTTGTTTTAGGTGTGGTTGTTAATAACTGTGTTTGCTGTCCTTTCACTGTTCATATTGTTTATCTTCTTTTTCTTAGGTAAGTCCCTTTAACATTTCATATAATAAGGGCTTGGGGATGATGAATTCCTCTAACTTGATCTTATCTGAGAAGCACTTTATCTGCCCTTCCATTCTAAATGAAAGCTTTGCTGGATAGATCAATTTTGGATGTAGGTCTTTGGATTTCATGACTTGGAATACCTCTTTCCAGCCCCTTCTTGCCTGTAAGGTCTCTTTTGAGAAATCAGCTGACAGTCTGATGGGAACTCCTTTGTAGGTGACTGTCCCCTTATCTCTTGCTGCTTCTAGGATTCTCTCCTTCATTTTAATCTTGGCTAATGTAATGATGATGTGCCTTGGTGTGTTCCTTCTTGGGTCCAAATTCTTTGGGACTCTGAGCTTCCTGGATTTCCTGGAAGTCTATTTCCTTTGCCAGATTGGGGAAGTTCTCCTTTATTATTTGTTCAAATAAGTGTTCCACTCATGGCTGTTTCTCTTCCCCTTCTGGTACCCCTATAATTTGAATGTTGGAACATTTAAAGATGTCCTGAAGGTTCCCAAGCCTCTCCTCATTTTTTTGAATTCTTGTTTCTTCATCCTTTTCTGTTTGGTCATTTTTTTCTTCCTTCTGGTCCACTCCTTTGATTTGAGTTCCAGTTTCCTTTCCATCACTCTTGGTTTCCTGTGCATTTCCCTTCATTTAAATTAGTTTAGCTTTCATATGTTCCTCTAATTTGTGACTAAAATCAACCAGTTCTGTGAGCATCCTGATCACCAATGTTTTGAACTGTGCATCTGAAAGTTTGGCTATTTCTTTGTTGCTTAGATTTATTGGCTCTGGGGATCTGAGTTGTGCTTGAGCCATGTTTTGATCTGTTTGTGCCTGTTACGTATGAGGAGAGGAGCCTTAGGTGTTCACCAGGGTGGGGCTACCCAGGTCGCTGGTTTGTGCTGCTGTATGTGGGGGCGGGGTCAGACAGGGATAATAGTGGTCCCCTCTACCGCTCCTCGCCGCTGGGGCCTGTGTGGTCTGTCTCACTGCTTGCTCCTTCACCGGTTTATCTGTGCATGAATGTGTGACCGTGGTCAGCCCTCAGTGGGTTCCCCACCTTGTGCCCTCAGTGGGTCTGCCTGCTACTCCACACCTGGGATCCACCCACTGCTGCTGGGTCTCATGCCCAGGTTGGTCCGGTGGATGTTTCCTGCCCGACCCGCTCTGCTGCTGGCTCTGCCCCTCTTACCGGTTTGGCTGAATGGTTTGTTGTTGTCAGACTTCCATATAGTTCAATTTTCTGTGGTTTGGCTGCATTTTTGTTGCTAAAACTTTTAAACTTGGTTGTGCGAGAAGGTACAGTGTGTCCACCTATGCCTCAATCTTGGCAGAAGTCCAGATTTTCCCTTTTTTAAAAGTATCCCAAGACCCTTCTGAGTAACTTCTCTTATTTTAATCTATTATGTCTTTATTATAAATTCATGTTCTGTTACTATTCCTAACATTTTCTTTCCTTTCTGATTATTTTATACCATTTCTCTTCTACCCATTTGGAGTTAAAGTACAGTGTTCTGTTTTGTTCAGGTATGTGTTGTAAATCTAGTAGATAAATATGATAGGAAGACAAGAACTCTTTTTTTCATTGGGCCTGATCTAACTAAAAATGAAGCAGTCTCCCCATTCCCAACTTATCTTTTTTTATAAAGTATTAAGATCCCTGTTGCCCCAAATATGTAAACCATGAAGACAAGTGTCTGAAAGTTGTAGGACGAATTCTTCTCTGGGCAGTAAGTTAACCTACATACCAGTGTCCAACTGGGAAAACAGAAGTCTCTCTGAGTATTTAAACACAGAAGGAATTTAATTTGGGGAACTGGTTACACAGGTGATCAAAATCCAAAAAGATGATGAGGTAACATCGAGGTTAGTAACACTAGGAAGCCAGTGCCACCCTTAGACTCAAGGACAGAGGGAGGAGCGGGGGGGCCACCTGGAGAAACTGGAGCTACAGTGGGCCTGTCTGTTTGGAGCTGGACCACAGAGCTGGTGCAGGGGCTTCTCACCACCACAGGCAGAATGGGAGGGGAGAAATATTCTGGCATTTCTCTTCCCCCTCTCCAATCTCCTTCTAGTGTCCTCCACTGGCAAATTCAGTTTAAAAAGCCAGTTGACACAGACATTAATAGAATTATATATAGCCCGTGGTCTACATATAATTGTGTTCCACTCAACCCCACTGTGCTGCAGAGCAGAGTGAGATAAGGGTGAAGAGTGGATGGGAGTGCAAACAGGCCAAAGCCAGGCACAGTGACTTCTGGAGGCCCTTCCAAGTCCACAGACAACAGGGCAAAGTGCAAAGCATGCTTGCCCTGGAGCCCCGGTCAGGTAGCTTAGTTGGTTAGGGCGTCATCCCGATATACCAAGGTTGTGGGTTTGATCTCCAGTCAGGGCTCATACAAGAAGCAGCCAATGAATGCATAAGTAAGTGGAACAACAAATTTCTCTCTCTCTGTCCTTTCCTTTCTCTCTCAAATAAAAAAAGAAGAAGAAGAAGCATGTTTTCCCTGAAGAGGTAGGCAGTACCAAGTTTCAATACTGCTTTTGTCATTTACTAGCTCTCAGACCTTGGCCAAGTTGCTTAACTTGGAGTTCAGTTAATGGAGGTTTGAGAACCTTAGTTCCCTTATCAGCGAAAGGGGGCAGGAAAAAACACATCTCATGGAGTCATTGTAAAGATTAAATAAAATAATAGCTATAAAATAATAGTAAGCATTCAACAACAATTACTTTCCTGTCATTGAAGAATTTATTATTGTAGTAACTATATACAGTGTCAGATGGGTATTAAATTTATCAGAGTGGTCACTTCCTAAGTTCTATAAATGTCTTGTCCACTTGAAACTTACAGTATACATCAACTGTAATTTAAAAATAAAAATATATTTAAAGACTTTGTTTATTTTTAGAAAGAGGAAGGGAGGGAGAAAGAGAGGGAGAGAAACATTTGTGTGAGAGGCATATCCATGTTTCTCTGATGCATGCCTCCAACTGGGGACCTGGCCTGCAACCCAGGCATGTGTCCTGACTGGGATTTGAACTGGTGACCTTTCAATTCGCAGGCCAGCACTCAGTCTACTGAGCCACACCAGTCAGGGCAAAAATATTTTTAAAAAAGAAAAAAAGACTTTATGATTTTAAGTGAAAGGACAATTGGGCGGTTTGGCCAAGGTCATTACGTATCTTTATATATTGAAAGATGAAAAAGGGGCAGAGGTCTCTTCCCTTTTGGAAGCTCTGCCTAGGGTGGGGTAGGCGCCCCAGTAATGATACTGAGAGATTATTTAAGAAACATGGGAAGTATCACACATGATCAATGCCTTCATTCCACAAACATTTATAGGTCCTCAGTACTTTCTGGAAATAATTTAGACATGGTCCCTGACTCGAGGAGATGGCAACACACGGGCAAAGAGATAAATCGAAGTGCATGATGGTATGGGAATGTTCGCAGAGGAGGGACATCTTTGCCTAAGGAAGTGGGGAAAAGCTTCAGTAAGGAGATGACGTTTGAGCTGTGTTTTGAAGGATGAGCAGTTCCCCTCTGTAAAAACAATGTGAAAGTGTAAAGCCACGAAATGTGTGAGCTGTTTGAGGGATGGTGAGCTACTCCCACGGGTGCAGCCTTGAGGGGTCCACAGTCAAGGTGGAGGTAAGAAAAAGTGGCAGCTGTGGCTGAAAATGGAAGTGAAAGTCAGCATGGGGAGGGCCTGGTGTAAGAAGCTAATGGCTTTATCCTGTGGGGAATGAGAAGCCAGCAGAGACTTTTAAACTAAGGAGTAAGCCATCATCTGTAACCTAGGATTTCATGAAGTAACACATTTCCCAGCCTCTCTCTCGGCTTCGGTCGGTGGGCTGGTGCATGCAGTTATATAAAGCAAGGGCACGTGTCCTTCTCATAAGACATTAGAAAGCACGACTCAGAAAAATGAGCACAGGGATTTTCCCTTAATATTAAATACAAAATGGAAAAAAGTCATAACTTATCCTGCAGATGCTGGAGGACTCAAGGTAAATATTTGAAATATTCTCCCTCTCATTTCTACAAAGCCAAGAACATCAGAGGTGTGACGCTGCTGCTTGTGGCTATGAGGCAGGATTTCAAGGATTCTGATGAAACATCTGCCGGCCTGGCTCTGTCTGAATGCAGAAAAGGACTCTGTGTTACTCAAGTGGAAAGGAAAGCACACGTGATGATAATATAACCCTTTATGCTTTTCAGCGCCCTTTCACCCACATTACCTCCTTGAAGCCTCGTCACAGTCGTGTGTGGCCGGTGGGGCCAAGAGGACCGTCCCATCATCGAGGTGAAGAAATGGAGGCTGAGAGTCTCCTACTTTCCCTGGGATCTGAGGAGACCTTACACCCAAAGCTACAGACAGGGTTGTAGACACAGGCCAGTCTCTGTGACAGTGTTCTGCCTACCTGTGTCCTTCTGTAGACCAGGATGGCTTCGCTGAGGTCCTGAAGTGGGAACAGTTTAAGATGCAGCCTCTTCCTGTGGCCTCGGGGGTGGTAGAGGCCTCTTCTCCTCACTCTGGGTGTCCATGCTGAGACGGCTAAACCTTCTGAGTAGAGAATGAGGGCACCCTTCCTAGTGCTGAAAGTTTTAGGGAGAAAGAGGCTCCACGTGAGCTGGCTGGGGTCGCCCTTATCCTGCGGCTTGCTGACCAGGACATAATCTTCTGGAGACTTCCAATTCAAATAATCCTGCAATGGAAAGAAACCATCTTGATCGATTCACTGCGAATAGCACTTTTATAACAAATACTGCTTGTGCAAGGTATTGCACTTTTTTATTATTTTTATTTTAGTGAGGGGTTTTCTCTCAGTTGCTTACACAGTGCAGAGAACACAATCACTCTTCTGAGCAACTGGTTTTGTTCTCCACATCTAGGAATTAGTAGAACCCAGGGCATGGTTCTGTTTTACCCCATATAACTTTCAGGAGAGCCACTCATGCCTCGAGGCTTAAATAGGGTAGAGTGTAGGTGACAGGCCAGTTACAGTTTCCTGGTACACACATAAGTAGTCAGAATTATCAAGGGCAGCACATAACTTTGAAATTAGACCTGGAGTAGCTGGCAGTTTAAAAAGGAGAAAGCCATTCCAGCCATCACTCCAGCTGTACACAGGGAGAATTTCTATACATTCCAGATGCTATGTAACTTTATCTAATTTGGCTATTTAGGAGACTATAAAGTAGTTACATATCTCGTAAGCAAGTAAATGCCATTGGCCACAGAGGTCCTTTGAAACTCTGTATGTCTTTTAATACAGCAAAGGTCAAATATCATGCCAAACTACCATGACAACTGAAATCTCTGTGAGATCCAGAAATTTTCAAAATACCTTCAATGAATTTTTTATTCTTGGCAGAATTAAATGAAGTAAAATTGCAGTACAACAGGGGGGTTTTGCCACCACTTTAAAATGTTCTAAAGTAAATTTTTCTTTTTGCCCATATTAAATATGAGTGCTGTGGGCTGAGTTCCAGAAAGTTCAAGGAAACCATTGAAGTGATGAGAACACACAGCGTTTCAACTACAGAGCACAGCTTCTAAACACCAAATAGCCGTCAGCTTGCCTAGAACCCAGGTGGAAATTCTGGTCTTGAACCAAACCAGCCAAATTCTAGGCAATCTGGCATTTCCTTCAGGCTAAAACAAATGAGACTGCAGGTCAGTGTGCAAGGGGAGGGAAGAGGGTCCCATGGCAACCTTGGAGTATCAGGCAAGCTACGTTGTTTTCTTGAGTTTTACCGAGGAGGAATGATCTACCACTGACCCCCACCACCTCACTAAGGAAGCAAACCCAGACACACGTGGCTCAGCTCCAAATGGAAAACTAGAGCATTTCTCCCCCACCCCTCCAAATACGCCTTTATTCAGCTGTAAAACTCACCTCTGGTTCAAAATAGACTTCTAACTTCTGTTTGCTCTGGACCACCTTCCCACGTCCCCGGCTCAGGACAGAGAGCGTGAACATGCTTTCCCTCTGACCACCCTTCTCAAGGGCAGTTCATCTTGGTTTTGAAGGCTGAAAACTGGTCACACCTCAAGATTTCCTGAGCTCAGCAGGGAGCCCAAGAAGACCACAAACACTGGGCCTTTTATTAAATACGTTTTCCCCTCATACAGCAGCTTCTTAGTAACAACCAGCCACACAGTTTAGACAGTATGTGTCTTTGTCGGGAGAAAAAATAAACCGCAAACCCCAACTCCTCAAGCCCTGGATTGTCTACTCTCTGGGCAGCCTCTCCCCTTCGCCTGGGCCCTTGTTGTCCCCAGGTCTTGTTGCTCTGTTATTGCCCCAAGCGCCATCCTTCTCACGGCAGTGGAGGTTGTTTCCTGGTTGCTATGGCAGCAAAGGGAAGTGAAGTCCCTTAAACCAGCCCAGGCAAGGCGGAGACTGCTGACACGTGGGGAGAAGGAGGGTCAAATGGACATTGAAGGGACCGGGATCAGATTTCAAGTCTTGATTGTGTGGATGGGGGAGGCATGTTGAGATATTTTTCCTGTTATAACAGTACTCATCTTGCTTTTAGAGCATCTTCCTCCTTCTGATATGAGAGCCTTTCACTGTCAAGTCACCATTAACAGATTCAGAGGACTCATCAAGGTCACTTAAAGCAGCCTGCGACACCTTCCTTGGCTGGGCATCAGCATTTCCTCCAGTGGACATGAGGCCTTTGATGCTAGTTGCTGCTTTGCATGAGTGTGAGATACTGGGAATCTCTAGATTCCTTTGCACACCTGGTTCTCACCTGGGTGAATCTCATCTCCAGAGTGGGTGTACTTGGGAGATGGAGGTAGGGGCACATTATGATGGCTGGAGGCCACTGCTGGAGTTTAGCAAGCACGGGCCTGGGATGCTGAATGTTCTGTGGTGTGTGGGACTGTCCTGCGTAATGAAGAGCTGTCCTACTCCGAATGCCAGTAGCCGTCCTTTTGAGAAACACACCGGTGCCTGGGCTGCTTGGTTCTCCTCGAGCTGACACTGTGAGGAGGACAGGAGGCAGGGGTGAGGGGTTAGGCGTGTCGGGGAACAGAAAGATGCCTTTGCTGGTGATGTGTGGGCCTGCTTTGGCCCGGAAAAGCAACCTGTCCTGTCATTGTTCTGCGGGCGTGCCCACTGATGACCTGGGGGAGAAGCCTGATGGGCTACAGGCCCAGTTACCTTTTCGATCTCCCTCTGTAGCCCAGCCTCTCCCAGGGAGCTGGCTCAAATCTCATGAGAAAGAAATAGAGGTGATGCTCTACAATTAGACTGAGTTTATTATGGAGAAGGGAGACAGTGAATGTAGAGACGCAACACTGAAATTAGTCAAGACCACAATAAATAACATTTCAACACTCATTAGGATGGCTATTATGGAAAATAACAAAATAAAAAATACAGAAAATAGCCCTGGGTGGTGTAGCTCAGTGGATTGAGCACAGGCCTGTGAACTGGAGGATTGCGGTTCGATTCCCAGTCAGGGCACATGCCTGGGTTGCAGGCCAGGTCCCAGCAGGGGATGCACGAGAGGCAACCAGGCATTGATGTTTCTCTCCCTCTCTCCTTCCCTTCCCCTCTAAAGATAAATAAATAAAATCTTTTAAAAAATACAGAAAATAACAAGTGTTGGTGAGGACATGGAGTAATTGGGACTCTTGTGCACTGTTGGTGGAAATGTAAAATGGTGTAGCTGCTATGAATGACAGTATGGCAGGTCCTCAAAAAATTAAACATAGAATTACTGTATGATCTAGCAGCTCCACTTCTGGGCCTAGAAGACAAAAGAAGTAAAGTCTGGGATTCAAACAGATATTTGAACACCTATGTTTAGATCAGCATTCTTCACAATAGCCCAAACGTGGAAACAATTCAAGTGTCCATCGACAGATGAATGCATAAAGAAAATGTGGCATGTACACAAAATGGAATATTATTCAGCCTTAAAGAGGAAAGAAATTTGGAGACATGCTGCCCTATGGGTGAATCTTTAAGACATATGCTCAATGAAATAATCTAGTCACAAAGGGACAGATATTGTTTGATTATAATTATGTGAAGTACCTAAAGTAGTCAAGTTCACAGAGGCAGAAAGCAGAATGGTGTTTGCCAGGGGATATGGGAGGAGGGAGTGGAAAGTTAGTGCTTAATGGGTACAAGGTTTCATTTTGGGAAGATGAATAAGTTCTGGAGATGGACGGTGGTCATAGTTATACAACATTGTGAATGTATTTAATGCCAATGACCAGCACATTTAAAATGATTAAAATGATAAATTTTGTGTTATGCATATTTAACCACAGTTTTAATCTAAAAAATGATAGCAAAGAGAACAAAAAACTGAATTTAGCATTTTATAATCTGAAAGCCGATTGGTCAGCTTGGTCTGAAAGCTGATTGTGGAATGACCTCCTCAGAGCAGGTGAGACAAAAGCCTACAAAGTTTATAAGGGTCTTAAGCTACAGTTGCTCTTTCCCTTCCCCTTCTCAATATTTTCAATTTTACTGAGAGACTACTTTATGGAGAGATGGTTCCTGTCCTCAGGAAGCTCCTAGCAGGGTGGGAAGACAGGTGTATGTGAGCCAGTATCTGAAAGATGACTTGACAGCTATGATAAGGGAGGTGGAGATAAGTAGTTGCTTTGGGACAAGGGTCAGGGTGTGTGTGTGTGTGTGTGTGTGTGTGTGTGTGTGTGTAGGGGAGATGGATGGTGGTGGGCCCTGTAGAAGGCTACCTAGATGATGGATACTGGAGGTGAGCCTTAATGGACAGGATAGCAAGGAGGAAAGATGGAAGAGGATATTGCAGGAGGCATGGACAGGAAAGTTTGAGATCTCTGGGGAAGGGGCAGCTTCTCTGGTGTAGCCAAAGCCTTGGGTCATGTGCACACAGATGAAGCCAGGGAGAAAGGCCAGTTGGCCAAGGCCATGATGACCCAAGTATCCTGCTAAGGAACTTTGGACTTTATTCTTCAGGCAGAGTTTTTAAAGCAGGGGGGTGATGTGATTCTATCTGGGTTTAAAAAAATAACTCTGAGAACAGTGTAAATAATGAGTAGAATTAGAGATGCTTATCTCTTAAACTTCTGGGTGAACTTTCAGGACCTTGCAACCCAGGCCAACCCTCCTGATCCATTTGCCCTGTTAAATGGATCAGGAGTAACCTGCCTGCCAAATGGCCTTTGAATGAGACAAAAGGGAGAACTCCATACCAGCTGCAGTGAAATATAAATGCTGCCATGTTGAAAACACCATTGCTCATGGAAGAGAGTAGGTAGCACGAGAGGAAAGTGGTAAAGCATCTGGGACCCGAAGGAGAAACACTATTGTCGGCCAAAGAATTGCTCTCAGTCTCACTGGGGAAAGTCATCCTCTGAGCTCAGCTGACATGGAAATAAATATAAACTCACCTGTAAATGGTGAACCAGGCCCCCAGGAAGTGACCTTTCTGAGTCTCGGTTCTGTGAGCATCTCACCTGGGACAACAGCCAGGTGCCCATCTGACCCTCCCAACAGCACAGCCAGCCTACCAGGCCTCGGGGTTGTAACCTACGAGGAGCGAGACTACAGCCCCAAACAGGCCTCTCTTAAACTGTCCTGTTTACATCCACGCTGTTTAACATGGACAATGAGCAGATGTACAGATCAATTAATAGACATTTAAAAGCATTTACTCAGTCCCCACAGCAGTTTATGGAAAATGCATTTAGAAAGCAATCGAGATTATTGCTATTCTAAAGTGCTTGGGGATCCCAGATGAAAGGCCCTTGTAACTGGAAAGTATTTATAACTCAAGAAGAAACCCTCCACACCCATGTTATATAACACCAACACCATCTCCTGGCATGCCTGACCTGTCAGCCCATGCAGCTTGTCTGTTTAAATTACACTTTAAATTCTGTAGGGTGGAGACTTGGTTTTTATGGTTTGTAAAGCATCATGAATAACCATGGTGCCTTAAATAAATAGAAACCACATGAAACAAAGAAAAGAGATGTTTCTTTGGCATGTCCCCACTGCATATCCAATGGCCATGTCCCCACTGCATCCAGGATTTTGTCCCTTGCTCCAAAGTACTTGGGGTAAATGGATGCTACTCTGGGGAAGTGGCTTGTGGGATAGCCACTTCCTCCCTTTAAAGGGTAGCCTGGCAGTGTTTTCTAGGAATTGTATTCACTTGCAGGGGAAGTCTACAAAAAGAGTCATTGGTATTGTCCTTGTTACCCAGAGAGGACCAATCAGTGCATAAAGAGACTTAATGATTTGCACAAAGCCTCCCAGTGAACGAGAGGTGGTATAGGACCTTGTCTTAATCCTGGCCTGCTGTTCATCCCACTTCTGCAACAGAGTAGCAATATCCGTTCATAAGAAGCTACATCGTGGCTGATATCCAGCAGTCAAAAAACTGCTGTGACTGAGGCTACCACAGTGGTGTTGGGACACTGGATTGGGATGGCTCGAAACACTCATTATCTCCTTACCTTGCTTCTCCTTACTTTACCTTGCAAACTGAGTTTCAAAGGACTTTAGGAAATCACATTTTTAGCTTTCTGATCTGCCATGGAGGGAAAATGGAATGAAGGTTTATAGAACCATTTCTGGTTATCTACCATAAGCACCAAACACAAAGAATATTTAAAAACATTGTTTAGTACAATCAGCATCACCTTCCATTATTAAGATGCTTTCCATATGCTCGTTTTATACTCCCAACTAGACTGTAAGTCTTTGGAAGGTAGGGACTAGACCTTATGATTCTTAGCACTTCCCACAGCACCCCTTGCATGACATAGCCGAATAAATATTTGTTGCTTTCTTTTTAACATTCCCAGACAAATGTGTACTGAACTTTGAGCCAATATGTAAGATGTGTGGAAGAAGAGAATTACGTCAAAGCCTGTTTTAATGGCTGGTATTTTGCTTATAGTACAAAGCTTAGAGCCACAGGTTAAAGACTCTGCTTAATGAAAACTTGGTTTTAAAGACCAAAGAAGCACCAAGAGAATCAGTGTGGAAGATTCAGCCTTCTAAACTTGTTGGATGCTTCCAAACTTGCTGAGGATAGGTTACTCGGCTTGTTCAGTGGGCTGATTTCTCATGAGGCCAGGTCAGGTTGAAAGAAAAGGCAAAAGGCAATAAAGAATACTCTGGAATCATAGCAAGGGAGAAAGTGTCGCTGACGGCTCTCTGCTTCTTTTCTCTCCTTAAGTATAAATTATGACCACATAGCCTGCCTAGTCCAGGGGGGAGGAGACTAGAGCTATTTATTTTAGATCTTTCTGAAGGGTTTGCTTTGGGAGTCTTCTATTTAGCTATGCTTTT